GGATTCTCTCTTTGATTAAAATACCAGAAACGATCAATAGTTCAAAGCTGTCGGAAAAGTATTTCCACTCGGCTTAATTGTTTTTTCATGCTTTATCGAATCCTTCTATCGAAATGTGAAAATTTAGATTAAAAGTAAACAAAACAAAAACAACATTAATTCAACGCTATGTACACATATATCAGAGTTTAGAACAAATTCATTTGGTTAAAATCGGTTCAGAAAGATCTTGAAACCTGGAGCTGATGAGACTAGAATAACTGAAATACACGTTGAGTTCCCTGGAGCTGAAGACAATATTGTTACAAGTCTTCGATTAACGCTTTGTACTTTCTACATCATGGCTAAAGACAGATTCGAATCCGCAAGCCCAAACATTTGTGGTAGCTTGGCTTAGAGCCGTAATTAAAGTAATGTCTACATGTTGAGGAGGCAGGAAATGAATGAATTGATTCACCCCAAGAGGGCGTTGTAAAGTAATGTAGGATTACAAAGAATTGTGATAAGATAAATTCTTTAGTAGAAGAATGTCTTTACGGTAACTAATGAAAGGAAAGTCAAATTGTTTGTGAAGCCAAATTGTTTTCTTTTTAATTCAAACCTGAAGAGGGCGTTTGCCTTGGAATCATTAGTGCGGTAGGAATATGTTGTTAGAAACAACAACAACAACAATAACAAAAAAAATTATTTTTGAAAAGAATGACAAGTTACTGATATATTTGATTTTTTTGTTGTTCTTGCTAATTTCTCATCTGAATGAAAGCGATGAGTGAGATATTATACATATATAAATAAATATGTTATTAAAGTTTAAATATAAGAGAAACTAAATAAGATATAGTTAATAGTGTATAATAAATGCTAATAATAGTAAATTAATAATATACACTTTATCGGAAAATGTGATTATAATATTTTGTTACTCACAATAGTAAAAAAATACCAACTTTGACAGGACGACCGCTGCAAACTGGTTATCTATTTGGAACGTCATTTACAAACTGGATCACTTGGTAGAATGCTCTTTATAAATTGATTTACTATTTGGGACGACAGTTACAAACTGTTTCCCTTCGTCCCAAATAGTAAATCAATTTATAAAGGGCATTCAACCAAGTGACCTAGTTTGTAAAGGACGTTCCAAATAGATAACCAGTTTGTAATGGACATACAAAACAGTGACCTAGATTGTAAATGACATCCCAAACTTCACGGTAATTTTTCAAAGCTATAGCCAATCATCGTGATCTAGTTTGTAATAAACATCCAAAACAGTGAACCTGTTTGCAACGGTCGTCTCAAACAGGGAACCAGTTTGTAACTGTCGTCCCAAATAGTGAAAAATTTAAAAAGAGCATCCAACCAAGTGACCCAGTTTGTAAAGGACGTCCCAAACAGAGAACCAGTTTGTAGCGGTCGTTTCATACAGGGAACCAGTTTGTAATGGACATACAAAACAGTGACCTAGATTGTAAATGACATCCCAAACAGGGAAACAGTTTGTAACTCTATGAGAGTCGTGGCTATATAATGATTTTTTAATTTTCGCTGTGTTCTGGGAAGGAACAGAAGATCAGAAGTGGGAAATGTCATGCTGATCAAAAGTGGGAAGCGTGATTGTGGAGGGAAATAACATAAAAATATAAATTGGTGTTTTTAACCAGTTTTATACAACAGTGTAATTTGTTTTGTCAAGACAGTCAATTAATATTATTAAGTAATAGGAGAAATGCAGTAATATAAAGTGAACTAAGAATGTTTGATATATTTTTATGTATAAAATAGTTTTATTACGAAAATGTTTAAAGACGGAAAATTATTAATTAAGCCAGCAAAAACAAAAATAAATAAATAATCAGTTCTATAATGTAAACTCTTTAATCAGACAAATAACAACAACTAACAGAGAAAAAGTAAGCATTTACATGCAACAGAGTGCAATAATCAACACAGAAAAAAGCAAAGATTTACATTCGACAGATAACAATAATGAACATAGACAGGAAAAATCAACACAGACGCAGTAATAAAAAATTATAAACAACAAAAGTATAACACAAAATATTCTAGTCGGGGATTAAAAAAAGCTATAAGTATTTTGTTCCAAACTGCTAGACAAGTGACTGACTGACACATATTAATAAGATACAAGTGATAGCAGCGAATATCACTTATAACTGACAGTATAAATGTTCCAAACTGCTAAACAAGTGACTGACTGACACATATTAATAAGATACAAGTGATAGCAGCGAATATCACTTATAACTGACAGTATAAATGTTCCAAACTGCTAGACAGTTGACTGACTGACATATATCCCGAAGATACAAGTGATAGCAGCGAATATCACTTATAACTGACAGTATAAATGTTCCAAACTACTAGACAAGTGACTGACTGACACATATCACTAAGATACAAGTGACGACAGCTTATAACTGACAGTATTAAAGTATAAGTACGATATGAACTTACAGCTTTAAAATCCAGAGTTCGATTCTCCGCGGTAGACACAGTAGATAGCCCATTGTGACTTTGCTCTAAAACAAACAAACAATAAGACGTGAACATTCATACAAAGGCACTGTGATACAACGAACAAACAGTTTAAATTTACCAGAAGGAGGGCATCCCGGTCGGAAAAGTTGTGAACTTTAAAATATATATTCGTCATTTATCTTTTTTTTTGTGGTACAAGCTTTTCTCTTTTTTTTTGTAACTACATTTAAACTAAACAAAAGTGAGAGAAAAAAAGAAAGAAATATAAGTTCTATAATTTTTGTTCTTTCAGCTGTGGAGACGTTATTATGTTATTGTCAATCCCACTGTAGTTGGTAACAAATAGCCAAAGAGTTGGCGGTTGGTGATGTTCACTAGCTGCTATTTCTCAAACCTATTATTTATAAATTAAGGATGGTTCGCACAGATAGCCCTTGAGAAGTTTTGCGCGAAATGAAATAATCAAACAAGAGCTGTGGATGGTTTACATATTGTATTTTATTGAAAAAATTTGTTTTGTGTGTGTTTTTTACTTGTTACGACACTGTGAGTACAATTAGTTTAGAAATTGGGTAAAATAGACCTCAACAGTATTTATACGACTTCATAAATAATTTTCTTGCTCTACACGTAAGACAGTCCCAGAGAACATTTAAAACACGTGAAGTACGTCCGTAGAACACGTAAAAAACTTGATACATATATATATGTGACGTACTTCTATAGTACGCGTAAAACACACTTAATGAAATTAATTACAATATTCATGTTATTTTTGTTTATATTTATATGTGTGATACATATGTAATGTATTAGAGACCGTTTAAACAACAAATCAATGCTGTTTGGTCCGCTGAAACATCAAAATCGTTGTATTTGGGACCGTTTAAACATAAAAGACGATGTATTTGGGACAGTTTAGACAACAAAATCGATGTATTTGGGACTGTTTAAACATAAAAGACGAT